ACTCCTGATGAGAAGAGCATCCATGATTTGAGGAGCACCCTTGATCCAGGGAGCACTCCTGATGGCAAGAGCATCCATGATTTGAGGAGCACCCGCGATCTGGGGAGCACTCCTGATGATAAGAGCATCCATGATTTGAGGAGCACCCTTGATTCGAGGAGCACTCCTCACTCCAGGAGAACTCCTCCTCACATGTCCCCGTCTGGAGCCACTCACTCAGCCCTCAAGAGTTCCAGTGCCGATCTGGGAAGACCGAAATCTGCTGGCCACAGGATGCTGGCCCTCCCCCAGCTCGGCACCACGGTGGCGGGAAGAGCCCAGTGCAGCCCACTCTGCCCTGGTTCTGCGTGACCTTGAGCTGGCCGCTTGCCTTGTCTCCAAGCCTGCTTTCTCAGAGTCTGCACAAAGCCCGACTACAGTTCAGCCCCGTGTGACAGTTCTGGTGAGATGGGGCCTGTGTCATGAGGTGCTTGCACATCAACAGAGACCGTGAGGGCACGGCAGCACCATGTGCCCCACGTGTCACTGCGGGGAGAGGAGAAGGGACACGCAGGACAGGGGTTCTAGCCTCAGGGCACCTGCAGGCCAGCAGGGGAGATAAGGAAGTGCACCAGGAACAGAACTCCAAAGTCCAAATGGAATATAACAAGAGTTTTGAGAAAGGGCTGGCTTGCAGCTGGGGAGGCCCCGGGAGAGCGGGAGGGGGAGGGGAGCAGAGCTGAGGAAGACACGGCACCCAGAGCCTTGGTCACCACCACAGAGCACCTACTCGGAGCATAAGTCTGGTGGAAAGTTCTGGGAGGGGATTGAGGCCACAGAGGCTAAAAGTCTGGGCTCTTCACTCTCAGAGAAATGCAAATTACAGCTGCACTAAGAATCACAAGGGCAGGGAGAAAATGCTTTGAGCTGAATGCAACAAACCAGATAAAATGTAACACACCACAATTTGTGGGGTGCGGCTAAAGCAGTGCTCAGAGAGAAAGTTACAGCTTTAGACGCTTACAGCAAAAAAAAAGAAAAAAGGTTTAAGATGAATGATTTAGTCTCTCCCATAAGAAGCTAGGAAAAGAAGAGCAGATTAAAGCCAAAGTTATTAGAAAGAAGGAAGATTTGTCCATCCTTCCATCCAAATGAAAGACCTTCCGTGAAAATGAAATAGAAAACAAACAATGCAAAAAATCAACAAAACTTAATAAACACCTAGATAGACTGAACAATAAAAACAATTAGGAAAACACAAATTACCAGGGTCAGAAATGAAAGATCCCAGTCTTTTCGCTCAACAAGGGAATGTAATGAACAAACACATGCCAATAAATTGACAACTTAGATGCAATAAACAAATTCTACCAAAGATGTAAATCACCAAAACTGACACCAAAAGAAATAGAAAACTTTAATAGCTCTCTATTAAATTCATATTTTAAAAAACTCCCCACAAAGAAAAATCCAGAATTGGTTAGTTCTATCAAACGTTTAAGAAAGAAACCATAAACATTTTACATAAAATCTTTCAGAAAACAGAGAAGAAAGGAACACTTCTCAACTGATTTTATGAGGTCAGCTCTGCTATCGAAATCTGACGTCAAAAAGATACATCAAGAAAATTACAAATAAGTATCCCTCATGAACATAGATGTAAAACTTCTTAATAAAATATTAGCAAATCAAATCCAGCAATATATAGAAAAGATAGCACATCATGACCCAGTGGATGTATCTCAGGAATATAAGATGGGTTTCAAACCTCTACACCCTACTCGACTGGCTAAAATTAAAAAGATGGACAACTCCTACTGTTGACAAGGACACGGAGCAACTGGAACTCTCACATACTGCTTGTGGGAGTATAAAATGGTACAACCACTTTGGAAAACTGCTAGGCGTTTCTTATAAAGTTCAGCACGCAGACCTACCCTATGACCTAGCAGTCCCACTTCTAGGTATTTACCCCAAAATAAGTGGAAATATCTCCACAAAAAAATCCTGTGTGAGAATGTTTATGATACAACTCAGTCAACTGGCATGTTATAGTTTACAAAGTTCGTGTTCTGTATCCTAGTGAGGTGAGTAGCATCTGGGGTCTTAAAAGCTTGCATGCAGCCATCTAAGACACAACTATTGGTTTCTACTCATCAGGAGCAAAAAGGAAAGAAGGAAACCAAAGTCTCAGAGAAGAAACTAGTCTACAGGGCTATAGCCTACATGAGCTACAGCCTCATTTACCCTGAGACCAGAGGAACTAGATGGTACCCAGCTACCACTATTGACTGTTCTGATCAGGGCCACAAAAGATGGACTCTGACAGAAAGGGAGAAAAATGCAGAACTCAAAATCTTAAAAAATCCAGCCTTACTGGACCAGCTGAGAGTAGAGGACTCCCTGAGACTATCACCCTGAGATATTCTTTAAGTCTTGAATCAAAACTATCCCGAGGTCACCTTTTAGCTAACAGACTGGCATACAAAATAAAAGATATTACCTGAGAGTACGGTGCTCCATTAAAAAACCATCTATAGGAGACCAAAACGTCAACAATTACTCTAAAGCAAAGACAAAAAGATAAGGGGGCAGGGAAACTAGACCACTGGAAACGGAACAACCAGAACGCAATTAAAGAAATGTTGACACATTATGGAAAATGTAACTAACGTCACTGAGCAATTTACTCAGAAATTGTCCAACAAGCACCTAATTTTTGCTGTGTAAACATTCACTGAAAACACAATAAAATTTACTTAAAAAAAAAAGAATGTTTACGGTAAATTCATTCCTAAGAGCCCTAAATGTCCATTTGTAGAAGAATGGATAAACAAGCTGTGGTACGTTCACACCATGGAATAAAACTTGTGATGTACACCACAACATAGACGGATCTCAGAAACGTTACTCTGAGCAAAAGAAGCCAGACACAAAAGCAGTACGTATTGCACAGGCATTTACATCACATTCTAGAACAGGCAAAACTAATCCGTTGCTGTTGTTAGGTGCTGTCGAGTTGATTCTGATTCATGGCCACCCCATGCGACAGAGTAGAACTGCCTCATAGGGTTTCCAAGGCCGTAATCTTTACAGAAGCAGATCTCCAGGTCTTTCTCCCGCAGAGCTGCTGGGTGGGTTTCGACCTCCAACTTTTTGGTCAGCAGCTGAGCACCTAACGGTCGCACCAGGGCTCCTGAAAACTAATCTGTGGAGATAGAAATCAGAGCAGTAGCTGCCTTGTGGGGTGGGGGAGGGCAAGGACTTCCTGGGGAGGGGTGAAAGGGAACTCTACAATGATGGGCAGTTCTGCATCTGATGGGGGCTGGGTTACTGGGATATATTAATTTGTTAAAACCCAAACTACACACTTAATATCTGTGTATTTCATCGTGTGTAAACTACCCCTCAATTTTAAAAAATTTAAACTTCACTGAGAAGCTATTTGATCGGAAGATTGGAAGAGATGAGAAAGCTTGATAAAGAGAAATGAGGGTGTGGCTGGTAGGAGAGAAAACCTAGGCAATCTGGAACAATCTACCAAAATTTTGTCGTTGAGTGCCGTCAAGTCAATTTTGACTCATAACAACCCCACGTGACAGACTACAACCACCCTGTAGGGTTTCCTCGGTTGTGATCTTTACAGAAGGAACCCTGGTGGCACAATGGTTACGCACTCAGCTGCCAACCGAAAGGTTACCAGTTTGAACTCACTAGCAGCTCCGCGGGAGAAAAGACCTGGTGATCCCCTCCCACAAAGATTACAACCCAAAGAACCCTATGAGGCAGTTCTACTCTGCCATACAGGGTCGCTATGCGTTAGAATTAATTCCACGGCACACCACCCACCCACACAATCTTTATGGAAGCAGACCACCAGGTCTTTCTCCCAGAGAGTGACCAGGTGGGTTTGAACTACCAACTTTTCGGTTAGCAGCCAAGTGCTTAACTGCTGTGCCACCAGGGCTCCTTCTAACAAAATTAGGAACATCTACACCTGGAACCCCGAAGTTTTAGGAACAGCAACTCCAAATCAAACGACGCACTGCACTGGACAAATCTGCTGCAAAAGACCTCTTTAAAAGTGTTAAAAAGCAAATACATCATTTTAGGGACCAAGGCGCGCCTGACCCAAACCATGGTGTTTTCAATCACCTCATATTCACGTGAAAGCTGGACAGTGAATAAGGAAGACTGAAGAAGAATCGATGCCTTTGAATTATGGTGCTGGAGAAGAATATTGACTATGCCATGGACTGCCAGAAGGATGAACAAATCTGTCTTGGAAGAAGTACAGCCAGAATGCTTCTTAGAAGCAAGGATGGCGAGACTTCGTCTCACATTCTTTGGACGTGTCAGGAGGGACCAGTCCCTGGAGAAGGAGATCATGCTTGGTAAAGTAGAGGGTCAGCGAAAAAGAAGACCCTCAATGAGATGGATTGACAGAGTGGCTGCAACAATGGACTCAAGCATAACAACGATGGTGAGGATGGCGCAGGACCGGGCAGTGCT